GTGTGGAATGTTTTTTGTAAATCAGCTTTTAGCCACATATTGTTTTCTGATAACAATAGCAGAAACAAGACGAAACCCGATTTAGCTGAACTAGAATTCCGAAATAAATGAACATTCATTTTATTTGTACGGAGTTTTATGTTTATGTTTTACAAAGTCGACTGTACTCAGAGAAATCTAATAGTTAGAGAAATATAGTCTCATCATAAAGAACTCACGAATTTATTAGTAATTACTTAATTGCATACTTTCTGCCTTATGTTTTTGTTTTATATTAATCGAGAAGTTAATGTTCATTTGCTAATAATTGTCTATAAAATAAATATAGAAATAAATTTTATGCAATAATCATTTCTTTTAGTTTTTTTTAGTTATATGAAATTCTTTTATGATTACTTTGTGATGAAAGGGGGGGCACGATTGTAAACTTATAGACGTATACTAAGCCGAAAGTTAAATATTATTCTGATTTTCATATAAAAGAGTGTTGAAAGAATAAACTATTTACTTCTTTGTCTAGTTGCATTACACTGATTGATCGGAAGATATGTAAAAACAAATGAGATTGTTTAACCTAATACTCGACTAAAATAGAATCAAGAATAAAAAATCTGAATTAGACAATAGTTTTTAAAAAAGGCTCCTATTGTTTGGGACGAAGAAACATATTTCCTTCTATAAAGAACAACAATTTTTGGTAGGGGTTCAACAACGAATAGTTGGGGTCGTTGAGCTCGAATATGAGGTCAACTTTTTGCAAACTAAATGGATAAAAAGCTCAGTAACAGGTTACATTGGAGAAAATAAAGGTATACGAATTTGCAACATATGATAAACTCTTTTTTTCGCATTTATGAAGTGAAGTGTCACAGAAACGAAAAAAAAGGTTTATGGTCTCGTTAAATACGGCTACAAAAGAGTTTGTCATACATTGCAAACTCATAAACTATCTTTTCGTTTGTTAGAATATCAAAACCAACTTTACTCTTGATAATTCTTCGCGTTTTTACAGTGTAGAACATGGATTCTGTTAGAAAAACTTGAGCGAGTCTTCAGAGTGTAAGCTGTATCGTAAAAATTGCATAAACACGCTTGAATATAAAAAAGAAACTTCCTGATTTTTCTACTGATTTGGCAGAACATTTCTCCTGATAACCTCCTGATTCTTTTTCAAAAATCCCTGATTTCTAAAATTTTCATTTGGTAAGCCTGATTGCACACTCTTTTCAGTTGAGGGAGCTGCAGTTTGAGTTTTTTTTTCTGACCTTGTTCAATTTATTAATGCATACAGATGTCTGAATTCTTCACATGATATATAGTTGTTCTTTTTTGCTGTTTTGACTACATCTTCTTCTTTTCGGATTTTTATTGTTTCATTCGTCCCATGCATACAATATAAAAAGTCCTTATCTTGAATGACATTACTCACACTAAGCAATGATTATTCGTGAGTGTTGACTGCATGCTTGTTACTTTTCCATCAGTTTCTATTCTTTACATATCTTCGTTTCACTTGAACACTTTCGGTTTTTTCCACTACCTTCATTTTAGATGCGAATTCTTTTATAATTTAAAAAAAATTACTGGGCAGTATATTGAAGTAAGGTTTCCGATGATTATCGAATGGATATGATATTTTAGATGCCCAGAGTTAGTTTAATGATACCGAACAGTTAGTATGTCGTATTCTATTCTGATGAATACATGAAAATTGAATATTTTTGTTCAAGTACTTGTATAACATTATTTTTATCTTTATTACTCATATTTGTTACATTATCAAATGTTTCTATAGTGACTTACGTGGAGGAGAAAGAGGTCGCTTTCTTTTGAAATTTCGTTTCAGATTAGAACATCTATATCCTCCCCATTTATTGGCAGATCGGATTAAGAAATAATTCGCCAAAACTTAGCATATATAATACAAGCAAGGAAAGCAACGTATCAATTCCAATGACGCGTTTGGCACCAATATTATTCTGCCGATTGAGAATGAAGTGGCATAGTCTTATCGATATTCTGCGCATCATTATTGATCTATTAAATTTGTTAGAACAATTGCTCATTTATCTCCTAGGTGTTAATGACGATGAAGTACTTTTCTTTGTTACTCTAATAGGCATTGGTCTTTGCTCCAAACTTTTAAGTACGTTGAGATGTGCACGTCTAGAAATACTTCTTCTTATCTCGGTTGAAATAGGAGAATTTCTCGCCTACCGTTTCCTTTTGCAGCGCTCAGTGGCTGTTCTCATCATAAGTACTTCTCTATTAAGTGTTCAAATTATCATGTACTTGATTGTTTTATTACTAATTCATCATGTACGCAAAAGACGCCCGCAAAAGACTTACTTCAATGATATGCCGGATTCTTTACAAGAAAAGTTCAAAAGTGATCTTTGTGAATTCTTATGCTATACTGCAAATTTTGATATGTCGGAAGCCATGACTGCCTCTGATAAAGACAACAACAATGTCAAAACACCTGACATGTTAATTATGATGGATTATTTTAAAAAACACGTTTTTAAATCAGATCATTATTTGCTTCAGCCATGGTATCGAGCAACAATCTACTCTATGTGGTCATATATAATTTATAATGTGTTTGGACTTTTGAGTTTCACAATGCCTACCGAATCGGCGTTTCGTGAAAATCGTTACTTTGATATTCTCGTAATGATTTTACTCTTCGTCTCGCTAGAATTGGGAACGGACTTTTCTTCCACTATCAGCATAAATCAGTCAAAATGTAGCAAAGTCATCACAGCCTTCGATTTATGGAAGATACCGGTTTTGATTTATGGTGATATATGTTCCAAAAGTTTCTTGGCGTGTAGTATTCTCAGAATTCTTTATAAACGAGGTCGACATCAAGAAGAGATGAGTATCATTCGATCAGTGCAGTATAGAATCGATCGTCTGGAGAATTCTAGCAGTGCTTATATTTGCTGGCAAATAATTCTGTACTTCATTCTTGTTCTACTACTTTGCCAAACAGGTGTTGCCTGTTTCGTTCTTTGTATTATAGATTGGGTACACAAGAAAAATCCCAAGGACGGATTTGAATATAACGTCTTTCTTCTTATATGCGGCTATGGTATTCTCTTCATGGCAGTATTATTGATCCTGGCCATTGTTGGATGCATCATATTCTGTGTAAAGCTCCGCCAATGGTTTAATCATGATAATAGAATCTTCCCAGTAAACCCCTCCTCTTCATCTCACGGCTCATCTGTCGACGGGACACCAATTGATGAAAGACCAATATCTGCAAAATCTCAAAATGATACTCAGCGAATTGAACAGTCGATGTCGCAAAACTCATCGAGTGACCATTCGACAGATCTTTCGAAAAATCAAACTGAGCAGAATTTATCGAGGGAATTACTTGATAGATGGAGCGACCAGATGTTTCTCACAATGCATATAATTTTTATACCACTAATAAGTCGCCTGGAGTGGACTAGGTACTGTTTAGGAGAAGAAAAGAACAGATCGTCGAAAACCAGACGTGCAATACTTATTACCCACTATGAAAAACAACTCCGATCGTTACATGAACACTTAGATGAAGAACGTCGACAATATCAACTGAGCAGCTCATTTATACAAGAAAAGTTGATGCAATGTCGAGATCAGATTCGAATCGCTTTAAACGACTCCGAATATCAACCAAATTTAGATGACGAATTTCATCTCGACTTCGATACCTTACGACGTATCCAACACCAGCGTTTACACACTAAGGAACCTAAGAAAAATTACGGATGCTGTCGTAGAACTTATAATATACTCTGCAAAAGTAACCATCAAACATAAATTGAATCGACACGACAATATAGCATGAACTGTCCGATACGAGTTCGAACTTAAATAAGAATTCATCGCTCACGTCGTTTTTGTAAAAAAAGGAGCATGTGAGTTAATGTAAAATAAAAGCAAAACATCTGTTCGAACATGTTATGTTCGATTATGGAAAGAAAGAGACGTGTGTTCGATGTTACTATCGAAGCATAACTAACTGTGTTTATTGAATGTAACAACATATAGTAGGGGAAGAAAGTTTAAGGCACTTTAATTTTGAGTTTTTTTCGACAACGAGAATAGCTCGACGAAATCCGACTAGTGAATCGGATAGCCCGTGAAATTCTCTATCGAATGCAGTATGTGTCAAGTATTCAAAAAAAANCCTTTGGCTCCAATTATCGCCGATATTTTCATGTCACATCTGGAGGATAAGTTGATGGATCGCTTGAAAGAAATTGGTGTCTGTGAGTGGTATCGATATGTCGACGATACGTTTGTACTGATTGAACCTACAACAGAAGTAGAAGATATACTTAACATTTTAAATAATTTTCATTCATCAATCAAATTCGCACATCAATCAGAACAAAACTATTCCATTCCTTTCCTTGATGTATGGATTACTCGGTCGTCCTCAACTAAAAGTTTTCAAACCGCTGTTTATCGAAAAGAGTCATTCTCCGGACTTCTGACAAAAAGGAATTCATTTGTTCCTACAGCATATAAAAAGGCGAGCATAGTCGGCATGATCCATAGAACTTTAAATATTTGCTCAACATACGAATCTTTGGCCATTGAATTCGAAAACATTCGCCAAATTGGCTTCCACAATGGTTACTCTAAATCATTTATCGACACTCGAATAGGCACCAGTTTAACTAAATTTCTCAACCCATCTATAACCAATACCAGCGTCAATATGGAAGAGGAAAAGACAAAGATGTATATAGAAGTACCATACACTGGCGCAACTACAAAACCGTTTACCAAACAATTAGCACGAATATCTCAAAAACTTCGTCCTGATCTTGATGTTCGCTTTTACGCTAAACCACCACCACCAGTCCACATTCATTTTAACACGAAAGATCCAGTACCAAAACACCTACAGTCAAACGTAGTGTACTCTGTTAAATGTGCTCATTGCGATGATTTCTACGTCGGTGAAACCGAACGACAAATTATCCGCAGACTTTGGGAACATGGTGCACCAAAATCCCTATTTCAATCAAACATAATTTCACTCGATGAAACAAATAATAACCTAAATGAAGAAAACACCAAAAATCAAATTCAAAACACACAGATACGCAAAATGGGACAACATCTTCATAAAACAATGCGTCAAAGGGCAACACCATATCCTACATCAGAGAATCGAACCGAACCAACCGTTCGTAAATCAAGAAGAACTACAGCAAACAATCACTCCATAACAACTTCCTCGTTCAGTAACTCCGGAAGCGCCATATCTCGTCATGTGATCGACACAAACCACACAATCGATTGGGAACATTTCAAACTAGTATGGCAGGACGGATATCACCATAAGCTACTTACCAAAGAATCTCTCGTTATACAAGCATATCAGCCACAATTGAACCGCACAATACATTCCAGTCCAATGTACATTTTTCCCGAAGGTCTCCCACAAAATTTAATTCCTGGTCCTCAAATTAATCATTAAAATCAAACAAGTATCACACAAAATCCACTGATTAGTTGAAAGTCGAAACGTCGAAAACGCAAAAAACAAGAAATCAACAATTCGTTTTGAAGTCATCAACGAAAACAAAAAACTGTCTATTCGTTATCTCAGTCTACCACTTACAAGAAATATTGAATTAATACAATTTATCTCATGCTGCTCTCTATCGTCAATATCATCACATATGATAATTGAATTTTGAATAAAAATAAGATAAAATTGTTTTCAGATTTAGAATATTTGTATATATTTATATATTGACATAAAACAAAACTTATGATAATTAGATAGAAATGAAACTAAAGGATTATTTCTATTTCTTCAGTTTAAATTTATTTTTGTGTTGAATAGATATTGAACCAGTTATCCAATCAACATACAGATCTGCATTGACACAAAATCATCGAACATATTTTCGTGGCCCTTGTGAGCGTATTAACAAAGTAAATTATGAAGCAATACAGGTGAACGTGACTGAAAATGGTTTCTACACCTTTTTATCCCGTGGAGATGAAGTCAAAGATCTACCAACTATATCCAGTGATATATATGAACATGATTTTTATCCTAGTATTCCATTTGGAAATTTAATTTCAGAAGAAGATAAATCTTGCTCAGGTAATGGTGATATAATTACTGTTCGACTTATCCTTAATATCCAGTATGTATTGGTTGTAACAACATGTAATAGCAATGTCACAACGGATTTCATAGTACAGGTATCTGGTAGAAGTGCTGTTAGTTTAGAACGCGTTGGTAAGTACAATTTATATAATATTCCGAATCAATAGTATAAAGATATAAGATTATCACTTTTACAACCTCGAATTGGCTATTCTTTTGAATAGATCCTTCACCTGTTATTCATCTGAATTACTCTTCAAACTTAACAATAAACAGTCAAACATATGCTAAAGATTGCACCAACTCGCAATATTATTATGAAACTATTCAAATGACGGTATCTAAAAACGGATATTATACTTTATTAATTAACCCATATAACACAACTGGGACATCTATGTATGAAAATCAATTCGATCCGTTGTATCTACGTAAAAACAAAATGATTTCAATCAGGTACCATGAATGTTGGGGTAGGGCTCGCAATGAATTCACAGCTAAGCTTCAAGCTAATACAACGTACATATTAGTTATAACAACTCTTCAACCACAGACGTCAATTGCATTTTCGATCGTGATATATGGTTTGTTATGCTCGATGTTCGAGAGTGAAAAGAAAGAGACGCGTGTTCGATGTTACTATCGAAGCATAACTGACTAGTTCGATTTATTTCACAACATATATAGAACCGGCAACAAAGAAATGAGAAAGAAATAGTCAGGAAAATAGATGTCATGATACCTCGTATCATAACACCCTTCCCCTTGAGGAAAAAAAAACAAATTAACAAAAAACTAGAATATAACGAAAAAATATCTGAACTTGTCATAATATCACCACTAGATGAAGAGAGAGAAAAAGAAAGACAACAAATAATGAACGAGAGAGAAAGAGAAAAGTAAAAATCTGAGTGTTAATGACTGAATTTTCGTCGATAATGATAATATCCTCGATGATTGAAGATGTCCATGCTTAATACACGTTCCGCTTCATGCTGCTCTTCTATGTTCTTCAAGCCAATAAGTATTCGATCATCACTAAGTTCTTTCACGTGTACGAATTTGACTTGGTATAGACGAAGGATGCGGCGGATCAAGCGTAACGTAAATCGCTTGTATCTTCTCCTAGTGATTGAATATCGATATCGGTATTTGCGGCGTTGTTTGTTGTGTTTCTGGTTCTTTCGGTGTCTTGCCTCGTGACTTCTTTGCTGATGCTTTGATCGATTCGTTCTATTCGATGTTATATTCTCTTGAACTCGATCCACTCTAACCACCCGACAATCTTTTCCCACAGTTGTCCGTGCCTTTTCACTTTCAACTGTTGCAAGATATGGTCGAATATTTTCGATCGATTCTCGATCGTAACGGACGGGTGGTGTTCCTTGTAGCGATATCTCTCCATCAACGGACTCTGGTGGAATAACACCCTCGAATGCTGGTGGAATAACATCATCGAATGCTGGTGGAATGACATCATCGAATGTTGGTGGAATGACACCATCAGATGCTGGTGGAATTAACTGGTGCAAATAAATTTCTTCATCAGATATTGATTCAATGTCTGATTGATTACATTGTAATATCTTGGCAATTTTGTGCACGTTAATGTTTTTAGCTTTTTTCTTTTTGTTCCGTGGCATTGGTGTTAACGGTAATTGGATCAATTCGAATGCCTTAAACAGTTCATCCATATTTCGGTGTTTAATTTGGTCGAATGTCCAATGTTCACTGATCGGTCGAATCAAGTAAGTCACGGCAATAACATCATGCACCGCATAACTGATCATTTCTTTCCGTTTGTGGTATGATAATGTTGAGTTGCTGGACGATAGTGGTTGAGACCAGTGACTCATCGTACATGATTTGCTGATATGTAATTCACACCCAAACTTGAACGCGTTTTGTAAAGACCATAATTCAGTATTTTTGTATACTGATGCCCGATGACATTTGCAGGGTTGATGTTGACGTTGTGATTGTCCATCTTTCTCCCACGAGCTCAGGACCCCACATCGGGTCCGAGCCCATTCATACCAAGTAGAAAAGTGCGGTTGAATGTTGATGAGTGTTGCTCGAATCGGCCAAATAAGTAAAGTTCTTACTGGCTCAAGCTCCTTTGACATTTGGCCCCAGGAGAATATTTCATTATTAGACCTAAATATCGATTGGAAAATTTCGAGGAGCATTCCATACTTTCGCTCATGTCGACTGGGGAAGTGTTGTAATTCAAATAACATGACGAGTGACGGTGGTGTGTCTGGGATTGAATTTACTTGTATCAGTGACAATTGATTATTGTCGCATTCAGATTCAGTATCTATCGAATACTGTTTGCAAAGATCAACGTGATGTAATATTTGATTTAACAAATCCATCGGCGTGTTCTCATTCATAAATACTAATTCGTATCTAGACGAGTGTATATGAAATTCTGGATATCTGTTAACATCTTCTGCTGCATCAGCTCGACGTCGTCTATGTGATGGTGCGTTGAAATCGCGTGAATAAAATTGATCACCTTTTCTTGACATAATGATTAATTCAATGATTTTCCCGAGCAGGATCAACAACTAAGACCTTGAACGAATCACAATCGTCGAGTATAAATAAATCAACAGTGAAATCGATATATGAAGCGCTAATTATGACATAAATACGACGGTTAAATACCAACAGATCAACATAAGCCAACAGATGTATGTACACCAGCGAGTACGAGTCAATCCACAGATACCAATGCAGATTTCTGATCCAATGAATAAACACTAACCACAGTAACAATGTCACTTGAATAAACGTCACTTGAATAAATGTCACTAAATTAACAAATGTTAACTGAACGATTTGGATGATGAAGCAGGGAATTGAGATGATCTAAACAAACAGATGTGCATGCTAATGGGCATAAATACAAATAGATAAACGAATCGAAAATTATCCAAATAAAGGTAAAGAACCGATTCTGTCAGAATCAGTTCATAGTTAATGAACAACAAATTCTCTTCGGTAAACATTCTATTGATTTCCCCAGTCATAAAGAATGATGCACAATGGATGGTCTGTGATTGGTCAAGATTTTCAATCAATGACCAGTGGTCATCATAATTGTAAACAAATTTCACATAATGTGATAGATGTCATCGTATGTGGTGAGCATTGAATGGTCATTTCGATTGTTTCGCAATCAGAAACATCTTTTCAATAAGAAAAGAATTCCCTTCGATAATTTATCCATCCATTGTTATTTCCTTTGCTTGAATCAATTTGATTTTCCTATTTCTATCCATTGTAAATTTTATCCTTATCGATTCTCACATTTAGATTCGATAAAATATTGATCATCTCAACGTGCACATTTAAGAAGATCAACTAATCTAAACCATCAAATATAATTATTCCGTTATCTTAGCTGTTGCGCATACATCTAACATAACTAAATAAATATTGTTCACCTAGGACATTTCCAAAACCAATAAGAAATATTTATCAATGAATATTAAAAATATTGATCGAGTTGTTGATAAAAGACTCTTTTGAAAAAATATTGATAAGACAAATACTCTAAACATTGATGAATTTGTTGTTGTTGCTTCTTTTTTTTTTTTTTTTTGATTGTTTATTTGGATTTTGAAACATAAATGGGTCTTATATCATTTATGTGCACTCGCGTTTCACTCTGAGTTACTTCGTCTTTCACAATATACACAGGGTGTTCCTCACGAACGATAACTTGACGAGTGACTGAATATTTCGGATCTAGCTTGTTCTTCAAACCATGTTTCCGAATCAAAACACGATCATTGATTGAATATCGAGGGTCGGATCGGTGTTTGTCATAATGTTTTTTATATTGATTTTGTCTGTTTGTCATGTTTTCATGTGCGTATCGATGCATTAACTTCATATTTTTCCTCAATTGTTCATAATAATCGTTCGGCTTCCGAAATGTGAATGCTGATGCAGGTTTATCCGTTGGTAATCTCGGTTCTCTGCCAAATAATAACTGATATGGTGAGTATCCAGTTGTCGAGTGGGTTCCAGTGTTGTATGCGAACACCACCGGTGCCAAGAATTCATCCCAATTGTTGTTTTCTCGATCCTGAAGTTTGGCGATTTGCGGGATAAATGTCGCGTTGAATCTTTCGATCATGCCGTTCGATTGAGGATGATAAGTGGTTGAATATGTGTGATTGTATCCCACTAATTTCGCCATTGCTTCCATCAACTGATTGTGGAAATGTGTGCCTTGATCGGATAATATCGCTGCCGGTACCCCATATCTGCAAATGTATTCATTGAATAGTGCTTCGGCAGTTGTTTGTGCCGAGCAATCAGGTACAGCAACAGCGACTATCCATCTTGTGAAGTAATCTGTAATGCAGAGTACATATTGATTTCCACGAGGTGTTGATTTAAGTGGACCGCAGTAGTCCATACCAATTAATTGAAATGGTCCTTCTGGGGGAGTGATCGGTTGTAAATGACCAGGCTTTTTCACTCGACTAACGTTGTGCTGTTGGCATGGTAAACATGATTGTATGTATCGTGTAATCGACTGATGCATATCCGGCCACCAGTACTTGCTCTTGATCTTCAGGTATGTTCGTTGAACTCCAAAATGTCCAGCAAGTGGATGATTGTGATAAATCCGGAGTAGGCCATCGATCATTGATGATGGTACATAAATAAGTTTCTTCTTCGTCTTGGAGTTGGCACGCATCGGCATTAATTTGTATAACAGGCCATCTTTGAATTCATAAGAACATTTAGTTGGATTCTTCTTGGCCTCTGTGATCTTCTGTTCAATGATTGAATCGTTCGTTTGTTCGACCTTCAATTTCTCCATATCGAATTCGTAATTATGATCATCTTTCGATGGAGATTGTGCTTGTGGATCGGTTTTTTCTTCCGCAGGCGGTGTCGTTGTTTTCTTTTGTTCAGGTGGTGTAGTTTCCATCACGTCTTGGTCTTGCTTTGCTTGTAACTGCTTTGCTTTAGATCGCGTCAGAACAGCTCCCACTAGTGGAGGAGTTCCATCAGAAACACGCACTGTAGCAGTCGGTTCCCACTTCACTTGCTTTGCAATCCCATAATCTTCATCAAATAATTCTTCTTCTCTTGTAATTGGATGTCGAGACAAATAATCGGCTAAGCAATTGTGTTGACCCTTGATGTGGATAACTTTTTCGATGTTGAATTCCTGCAATAAGATCGATATTCGATCCACTCTTCGATTTTTCACTGTCGAATTCATCATGTTACATAATGGACAATGATCCGTGTAGATGATAATAGATCGTCCTAATAAATAGGGCTTCATACGTTGAAAACACATCCAGATTGCCAACGCTTCTAATTCAATCGGATCGTATCTCTTTTGAGTGGATGACGTCACTTGAGAATGATAATAGAGATTCTTCATTTCACCATTAATATTCTGTTGTAATGTTCCACCAATGCCTATTTTCGATGCGTCTGTCGTTAAGATAACTGGATAAGCATCATTTGGATAATCAAGAAATAATGGAGAAGTCACCAGATGTTGTTTCAATTTCAAGAATGCCTTATGTTGTGGCTCTTCCCATTTGAAATTCTTCTTGTTTTCCTTGGTTAAATTCGTTATTTTGTGTATCGGTGCAGCTATCGATGCGAATCCAGGAATAAATTTTCTGTACCAAGATAAACCCCCCAGGAACTTGTTCGCCTCTACCAGAGTAGAGGGTTCCCTTAAATTTTTGATTGATCGTATTCTTTCACCATTCGGTTGAAATCCATTTTCGGAAATGACGTGAGATAAATATTCAATTTCCCGTTGGAATAACTTGCATTTCGGTGGATTGAGTTGGAAGTTGTACTTCGATAGAATGGATAACAGTTGTTGGATGTGTTCCACATGCTCTTCGAATGANTAACTAAACGATTTGAATGATGAAGCAGGGAATTGAGATAATCTAAACAAACAGATGTGCATGCTAATGGGCATAAATACAAATAGATAAACGAATCGAAAATTATCCAAATAAAGGTAAATAACCGATTCTGTCAGAATCAGTTCATAGTTAATAAACAACAAATTCTCTTCAACAAACATTCTATTGATTCACCCAGTCATAAAGAATGATACACAATGGATGATCTTTGATTGGCCAAAATTTTCAATCAATGACCAGTGGTCATCATGATTGTAAACAAAATTCGCATAATGTGATAGATGTCATCGTATGTGGTGAACATTGAATAGTCATTTCGATCGTTTCGCCATCAGAAACATCTTTTCAATAAGAAAAGAGTTCCCTTCGATAATTTATCCATCCATTGATATTTCCTTTTGCTTGAATCAATTTGATTTTCCTATTTCTATCCATTGTAAATTTTATCCTTATCAATTCTCACATTTAGATTCGATAAAATATTGATCATCTTAACGTGCACATTTAAAAAGATCAATTAATCTAAACCATCAAATATAATTATTCTGTTATCTTAGCTGTTGCGCATACATCTAACATAACTAAATAAATATTGTTCACATAGGACATTTCCAAAACTAATAAGAAATATTTATCAATGAATATTAAAAATATTGATCGAGTTGTTGATAAAAAGACTCTCTTGAAAAAATATTGATAAGACGAATACTCTAAATATTGATGAATTTGTTGCTATTGCTTCTTTCTTTTTTTTTGACTGTTTAGTTGGATTTTGAAACATAAATGGGTCTTATATCATTTATGTGCACTCGCGTTTCACTCAGAGTTATTTCGTCTTTCACAATATAAACAGGATGTTCCTCACGAACGATAACTTGACGAGTGACTGAATATTTCGGATCTAGCTTGTTCTTCAAACCATGTTTCCGAATCAAAACACGATCATTGATTGAATAACGAGGATCGGATCGGTGTTTGTCATAATGTTTTTTATATTGATTCTGTCTGTTTGTCATATTTTCATGTGCGTATCGATGCATTAACTTCATATTTTTTCTCAATTGTTCATAATAATCGTTCGGCTTTCGAAATGTGAATGCTGATGCAGGTTGATCCGTTGGTAATCTTGGTTCTCTGCCAAATAATNCTTGAACATAAATGGGTCTTATATCATTTATGTGTACTCGCGCTTCACCCTGAGTTATTTCGTCTTTCACAATATAAACAGGATGTTCCTCACGAACGATAATTTGAGGAGTGACTGAATATTTCGGGTCTAGCTTGTTCTTCAAACCATGTTTCCGAATCAAAACACGATCATTGATTGAATAACGAGGATCGGATCGATGCTTGTCATAATGTTTTTTATATTGATTTTGTCTGTTTGTCATGTTTTCATGTGCGTATCGATGCATTAACTTCATATTTTTCCTCAATTGTTCATAATAATCATTCGGCTTTCGAAATGTGAATGCTGATGCAGGTTGATCCGTTGGTAATCTTGGTTCTCTGCCAAATAATAACTGATATGGTGAATATCCAGTTGTCGAGTGGGTTCCAGTGTTGTATGCGAATACCACCGGTGCCAAGAACTCATCCCAATTGTTGTTTTCTCGATCCTGTAGTTTGGCAATTTGCGGAATAAATGTCGCGTTGAACCTCTCAATCATGCCATTCGACTGCGGATGATATGTGGTTGAATATGTGTGATTATATCCAACTAATTTCGCCATTGCTTCCATCAACTGATTGTGGAAATGTGTGCCTTGATCGGATAATATCGCTGCCGGTACCCCGTATCTGCAAATGTATTCGTTGAATAATGCTTCGGCAGTTGTTTGTGCCGAGCAATCAGGTACAGCAACAGCAACTATCCATCTTGTGAAGTAATCTGTAATGCAGAGTACATATTGATTTCCACGAGGTGTTGATTTAAGTGGACCACAGTAGTCCATACCAACTAATTGAAATGGTCCTTCTGGAGGAGTGATCGGTTGTAAATGACCAGGCTTTTTCAATCGACTAACGTTGTGCTGTTGACATGGTAAACATGATTGTATGTATCGTGTGATCGACTGTTTCATATTCGGCCACCAGAACTTATTTTTGATCTTCAGATATGTTCGTTGAACTCCAAAATGTCCAGCAAGTGGATGGTTGTGATAGATCTGGAGTAGACCATCGATCATTGATGATGGTACATAAATAAGTTTCTTCTTCGTCTTGGAGTCAGGACGCATCGATAATAATTTGTATAACAGACCATCTTTGAATTCATAAGAACTTTTAGTTAGGTTCTTCTTGGCCTCTGCAATCTTCTGCTCAATGGTTGGATCGTTCGTTTGTTCGACCTTCAATTTCTCCATATCGAATTCGTAATTGTGATCATCTTTCGATGGAGATTGTGCTTGTGGATCGGTTTGTCCTTCCGCAGGCGGTGTCGTTGTTTTCTTTTGTTCAGGTGGTGTAATTTCCATCACGTCTTGGTCTTGCTTTGTTTGTAACTGCTTTGCTTTAGATCGCGTCAGAACAGCTCCCACTAGTGGAGGAGTTCCATCAGAAACACGCACTGTAGCAGTCGGTTCCCACTTCACTTGCTTTGCAATTCCATAATCTTCATCAAATAATTCTTCTTCTCTTGTAATTGGATGTCGAGACAAATAATCGGCTAAGCAATTGTGTTGACCCTTGATGTGGATAACTTTTTCGATGTTGAATTCCTGCAATAAGATCGATATTCGATCCACTCTTCGATTCTTCACTGTCGAATTCATCATGTTACATAATGGACAATGATCCGTGTAGATGATAATGGATCTTCCTAATAAATAAGGTCTCATACGTTGAAAACACACTCAGATGGCCAACGCTTCTAATTCGATCGGATCATATCTCTTTTGAGTGGAGGACGTCACTTGAGAATGATAATAGAGATTATTCATCTCACCGTTAATTTTCTGTTGTAACGTTCCACCAATACTTATTTTCGATGCATCTGTCGTCAAAATAACTGGATAATCATTGTTTGGATAAACAAGGAATAATGGAGAAGCCACCAAATATTGTTTTAATTTTAAGAATGCTTCGTGTTGTGCAGCTTCCCATCTGAAATTCTTTTTATTCTCTTTGGTCAAATTTGTTACTTTATGTATCGGTGCAGTTATCGATGCAAATCTAGGAATAAACTTCCTGTACCATGATAAACCTCCCAGGAACGTGTTCGCCTCTAACAGGGTAGAGGGTTCCTTTAAATTCTTGATCGATCGCATTCTTTCATCATTCGGTTGAAATCCCTTCTCGGAAATGACGTGAGATAAATATTCAATTTCCTGTTGAAATAATTTGCATTTCGGTGGATTGAGTTGAAAGTTGTACTTGGATAGAATGGATAACAGTTGTTGGGTGTGTTCCACGTGCTCTTCGAATGAACGAGAAAACACCACGATGTCGTCGATGTAGACCAATGCAAACTGTCGACATGGTGCCAATATTTCAGCCATCACTCGTTGATATGACGGTGGGCTGTTCTTCAATCCTTGAGCTAATACGTTCCATTCGTATAATCCTTCAGCTGTGATAAATGCTGTCTTGTGCTTGTCTTCTTCCTTGATTGGGATTTGCCAAAATCCACTCTTCATATCTAATTTGGAGAAGAATTTGTATCCACCACCTAATCGTCTTATTGTTTGTTCCATGTTCGGTAACGGATGGTTGTCTTTGATTGTCATGTTGTTCAATTTCTTGTAATCCACCACCATGCGCCATGATCCATCATGCTTAGCAACCAGTAATGCTGGTGCTGCAAATGGAGAATATGACTTGCGAATAAGACCATGCTGCAGAAGATCTTGAACGATGTTGTACATTTCTTCTTCTTTTTGCGGCGTTGAATAGTACGGTCTCGATGTCGGTGGAGGATAATCAAGTGTCTTGATTTCATGTGGTTTGACATTAACAGCAATCGCAGGTTTGCTTGTGTCGAAGAGTTTCTCATGGTGATGAAGGATATTCTTAATTTCATCTGCTTGTTTCGGATCTGTAACGTGTCGAGTCAGCTTTGTAATATGTCCGTTGACTAATTCATGATCGATCGATAAGCATTTGTTGAAA